TTAGGTCCATTTGATATATGGTGTCATTTAATTCAGACATTTCTCTGTTTATTCTTTGTCCAGTTGACTTGTCTAATGGAGACAGTGGGGTATTGAAGTCCCCTACTATTACTGAGCTGGGGTTAATCTGTGTCTTAAAGTTCTGTAGTGTTGTTTTTATAACTTTAAGTGCACCAGAGTTCGGTGCATATATGTTAAGGATTGTCATATCTTCTTGGTTAATTGTTCCTTTGATCAGAATGAAGTGACCCTTCTTATCTTTACTGATTAGTTTTACTTTGAAGTCTATTTTGTCAAATATTAGAATTGCAACCCCTGCTTGTTTCTTAGTGCCATTTTCTTGGAGTATTCTTTTCCATCCTTTCACTTTAAGGTAGTGCCTGTCCTTGAAGGTGTGATGGGTTTCTTGCAGACAGCAAAAAGATGGATTTTGTTTCTTAATCCATTCACTTAGCCTGTCTTTTGAGTGGGGAGTGCAGTCCATTTATATTTAAGGTTATTATTGAAAGATGTGTATTGGTTGCTGTCATTTTGTGTTCTTTGTCTAATTTTGTGTTTCCTCAATTATGCCTTTATTTATTTTCTTTCATTGCCCCTGGGGCGTAGTTGTTCCTTTCTCTTCTCTTTGTATTGCTTCAAGTATTCTTTGAAGGGCTGGTTTCATGGATATGTATCCTTTCAGGCTTTTCATGTCATGGAAGATTTTTCTTTCCCTTTCAACTATAATAGACATTTTTGTTAGGCAAAGTATTCTGAGTTAGCATCTATTGTCATGTAGAACTGGAAATACCTTCGTTCAGGTTCATCTGGCTTTCATAGTTTGCACTGATGTCAGCTGTAATTCTGACAGGCTTTCTTTTATATGTGACTTGTTTTTCTTTTGCTGCTTTCAGTATTCTCTCTTTGTTCTGTACATTTAGTGTTTTTACTATGATATGTCGTGGGGAGTTTCTTTTCTGATCTGTCTATTTGGTGTTGTGTGTGCTTCCTGTATTTGTATGTGTATTTGTATGTGTTTCCTTAATTTCAGGAAATTCTCTTCTACAATCCTGTTTAAGATCTGGTCAATACCATTAACCTGAAATTCTTCTCCTTCCTCTATGCCTGTGATATGTAGATTTGATCTTTTCATGGTGTCCCACTTCTCTTGCATATTCTATTCCTGTATTTTTTTTTAAATTTTCATAATCTTTGCTTGAGTGGTCCAATTCTTCATCTTTATCCTCCAGTGTTGATATTCTGTTTTCCATTCCATTCATTCTGGCAGTGAGGCTTTCTCCTGTTGTTTCAAGTCGGCTTATTGAGTTTTGCACTTCCTTCTTCATTTCCACCTGAGTTTTTTCAATGTTTCTATCTTTTTTGTGAATTCATTCAGAAGTTTATCCTTATCTTCTTTTAGTTCTTTGATTTGTTTGTTCATGTGTTCTTTAAATTCATTGAATTCCTTCATTATGTTTATGATTGTTGTTTTAAATTCTGTGTCCTGGGTTATCTCTAGGGGGTTCTCCTTGTAGAACTCTTCTACAGGACTGGTGGAGTTTGGTGGGGACATAGTGTTTTGGCTTTCCATTTTATTATTCTTTCATTGTGATTTTGGCATGTGAATTTCTTTTGTTGTTTGTGATTCTGATATGAGAATTAAGTTGAAGTATGCTTCTGCTTGTATTATTGGTGTGCCTTGGTCCTTTTCTTATTGGTTATATAAAGCTGGTTGGTCCAGGTTTCAGGTTCTCTCAGGTTTTATTTTGGAGGGAACTGATGGCTTCAGATCAACTACTCAGGAGCACCCACAGAAGCCCAAGTCAGGTTCCAGTCAGGTACACTCAGGCTTCCTTCTAAAGTTTGGACCCCTGCTAAGGAGAACTCAGAGCAAAATTTGGGAAAATCCCTAAGGGGGAGCTGACTGTGGGACTCTCAGTTGGTCTGCTGAGTTCTCAGCCCCTATGCCAGAGGGAGGAGGGAACAGGCACTCTCTGGCAGTCTGCTGAGATTGCTACACAGATGGAGGTCGGAACCCACCCTCTCAGGCTGTCTTCTAAGATCTCAAGACCAATCTACTTTTCATAATTTTATACTGTTCTTTGAAATGACCAGAATACATTCTGTGATATCCTCAAACCAAATTAGAAATTGTCAGGAATGAAGTACTAGAGAAACACAGAGGAAATGGCACACACTGTACTAACAACGCCTTAGTACTCAGGAGGCTGAGGCAGAGGGGACTGCTTGAGTCTCAACCTGAGCAATATAGCAAGACCAAAAAATAAACAACCACAAGAAAAAAAGAAAATCAGGAGACCAGGCATGGAGGCTGAGACAGGCGGGTTGGAAGCTCAAGGCCAGCCTGGGCTACATAATGAGTTTGAGCCTGTCTGGGCTACAGAGGGAGGTCCTGTTAAGAAAGACAGATAGAAAGAAAGACAGACAGGAAGTAAGGAAGGAAAGAAGGAGAAAGAAAGGGAAAAAGGAAGAGAGAGAGAGAGAGAGAGAGAGAGAAACCAAAAGCTTACAACAGCAACAAAACAGTAGGAATGAAAACACTAGGGAAAAAGGAATTTAAATTTGAGCCATGGAGCCAGGCATGGTGGCACATGCCTTTAGTCCCAGTACTCAGGAGGCAGAGGCAGGTGGATCTCTGTGAATTCAGGTCTAGCCTGGTCTACAAAGTGAGTCCCAGGCCACCTGGGGCTATAGGGAGAACCGTCTCAAAAAAACCCCAAAAACAACAATAAAAAATTTGAGGCATGGTAGTAATGAGAATTACTGACTGGTAAAACAATAGATCCTTCAAGAAGAGAAAGGAGTCTGGCACAAGCTTCTAATCCCAACACTCAGGAGGCAGAGATGAGGTGGATCTCCGTGAGATCAAAGCTAGCCTGGTCTACATAGTGCCAGGCTAGCTGGGGCTACAGGGAGATCCTGTCTCAAAAAAAAGAGAAAGGACATCTCACTTGGAGGTTGGGTTGAAGAGTGAAGACAAGATTCATGGGGACTGGGCTTTGAGAAAAGGTAACCCTTTCTTTAACCTCACTGCTCTTTTGCATCTGAATAAAGATGGAAACTGGTTTGATCTCTGGCAATACCTCTGTACTTCTATGTATTTTTGTTTTCTTTTCATAGCGGTGTGCTTGATAATTCAGGAGGGAAGATACTTATTCGGAAAGTTGCTGGACAGTCTGGCTACAAAGGGACTTACTCCAATGGTGTCCAGTCCTTATCCTTGCCCCGATGGAGAGAATCCTTCATTGTTTCAGGTACGGCACACCCTGGAGACGTTGCTAAACACAGATGCCCAAGATGACCTGTAGGTGAAATAGTCTTTTCAGTTGCTGTTAGTTTTTGCTTATGGCCTACCTCATTTTATAAAACTCTTAAGTGCTAATTCCCTAAAAACCAGGATTATGAAATAATAGACTATGATTAATGATAAATCACTACAAAGTCAACTCTAGATATATTAAGTGCTTCAGTTGCTTATTTTAACTGCACTACAGCTATCTGCAAGTCTGATCAAACTTTTTTTTTTTTTTTTTGGTATATGAGTGTATTGCCTGCATGTGTATAAGTGCACCTATGTGGTACAATGCCCATGGAGGTCAGAAGAGGGCATCTGATCCCCTCGAACTGAAGTTACAGATGGTTATTAGCTACCATGTGGGTGCTGGAACTTAAATCCAGGTCTTCTGCAAGAGCAGTCAGTGTTCTTAACCTCTGAGCCATCTCTCCAACCCCACCAATCAAACTTTTAATAGATGAATTATACTTAATAACATGATGTTTAAAATATTTTTTGCTTTATTGATTTTTATTTTATGTGTATGAGGGTTTTGCCTGCATGTGTGTAAATGTACCATGTGCGTGGGATGCCACAGAGGCGAGAAGAGGGTGCCGGATACCCTGGAACTGGAAGTATGGATGGTTGTTAGCTGCTCTGCACACTCGTAATTGAACTCAGGTCCTCTAGAAGAGTAGTGAGTGCTCTTAACCACTGAATCTTTCCAGCCCCTTGAGCTTTTTAAAATTTTTTTATTTAATTAATGGCTTCACTATTCAGTCAATTCTCCTTACCTAGCTCTTCAGATGTCTTAGAGATTTTCACTCTCTCCCTCCCTCTCTAAAAGACAGTATCAAGGCCCTAATGACTCCTGCAGTGTGCTCTCAGTGAGAAGGTAGCTGGTGCTGTGTTCCATCATGACCTGCCTTCCCACCCTTTCTGTTTCTGCTCATTTCTCTACCCTGGTCTTTTATTTTGAAAATGCTTCAGCTTAAAGAAAACTTAGAAGAATAGGCCAATGAATACCCATATTTCCTTCACCAATGTTCCTTAACTGTTAATCTTTTGTCCCATTTTCCTTACTACCTCTCTGTCATTTAAAGATACTTTATCCCCAAAGTGCCATCAGCATCCCAACACCCATCGGTAAGTACTTCAGCATGTATCTTGTAGGGGCACAGACATTGTCTCAAATAACTGTTAAACCAGTACTACATCTCAAAGTTAAATTAATACAACAGCATTATCTGATAGAGTTTTTATGCAATTATCTACAAAATATTCTTTACAATAATTTCTTCCATTTTTTTTTTTTTTTTTTTTTGCCCTGTAATGTGATCATAGTTTATGCCCGGCCTTTACTTGTCATGACTATTTAGGCCCCTTTAACTCCCCTGTCACCCTACATCTTTTTATCATGAATGACAGTGGCATCTGTGCGGTCAATAGGCTCTGCAGTGTGAATCAAGATCATGCCCAACAGTTTCCTCGTGACTGGAAATCAACTTAAATATTTTGAAAAAGAAAAGCACTACCACAGCACACCAAGGCGTCAGAACACAACGGCGTGTCAAGGGGGCTAGACTACAGTGTCTCTAATTGTTGCTGATATCAAATTTGATTGCTTGGACAGTTAACTGTATTGTTTCAGGGCTAAGGTATTTGTAATTAAGTAGAAAGCAGGATACTACTTTAAACAGCTTGAGTAACATTCCCCAGTAAATTTTATACAGTGATTTTAGCACCCATTGCCCATCCTGGCTGTAGCAAATATTACATTGTCAGTAGTTCTCCGGTATCCCCAGTGGGTGCCAAAATCTCCAGCTGCTCAAGTCCCTCATGTACAATGGTGTAGTGTTTGCACATAATCTACACACATCCTCTCAGATGACTGCATCATCCCTAGATTAACGGCAGTGCCTAACAATAGGAATGCCGTGTAAACTATTGTTACTCTGTACTGTTTAAGAAATGAAAAAAGGAAAAAGACATGTCCGTGTTCAGTACAGGCACAGGCTTGAGCTTTTCCCAGACATTTTAATTGGAGATTAGTTGAATGCACAAATTTGGAACCTACAGAAACAGGGCAAACCATAACTGCAAAATTGTAGTTTTTCCTGATCATGTCCATCTATCCACATTCAGGGGCTGGGAGTCCTATGTAAAGAAGAGTTTTCTTTCCCCTCTCTGCGCTTTTTATTTTATTTATTTGTTTGTTTATTGGTTTGGTTTTGTTTTTGAGACAGGATCTTCTGATAGCCCCAGCTGGCCTGGAATTTGCTAGGTAGACAAGGCTGGCCTAGATCTCATAGAGCTCTTCCTGCCTCTGCCTCTGCCTCTGCCTCTGCTAGAATTAAATTAAGCATGTACTACCGAGTCCAGCTCTGCACTTTAAAAAAAAAAAAATTGTGGACTATGGGATCTTGTTTTTGTTTTTCTTTAAAATATATCCATCATCATCCTTGTATTTTTGATGTTCCTATTTCCAGAGACTGGCCAGTGGGAGCCCTTCATTCATTCTCTCCTTCATTCATTCTTTGCTCCACTCGTTCTTTCACTTGTCACATTTCTTTTGGAGCACAAGAAAATGTCCTAAGCTCCTTTAACATCTACTGCTCAAGATGTGAGTCTCCTATCTTCTCTAAGGAAGTTCCACAGGATTTAAAACTGGATTCTAGCCCAAACCTACCTGGCCTCCCAGCAAGATTAGATGTGATGGGATTGCCCTAAGAAGGAGTCACTTAGAAAAGAGAAGAAAAATGTCTCATAACATAGTGGCTCATCAAGACTGGTTTTCTGACCCCATTAGGTATCCCAGGCCTCAAACCCCTATTACCCTCCATCCATCAGAGCTATGACAAAAATAAAAACAGACCTTTCAGGATTCCTGTCAAATTGAGCCCTCTTTCCCCTAACCTGCTAAATTCTACACACCTAGAGTTCAATTCAGCCTGGTTTCTTTATCAAAAGGACACCAACCATGGAGTAGGCCTTAGCCTTGTAACAAAGATGCAGAACAAAAACCAGATGACAATGTCAGCATCCAGAATTCAAAAAAGTTGAGTAGAGAGAAATATGATCTCCACATAGGAGCTTACCAAGTAACTCCTGTCTAAATAAGAGCGTTCACAGCTCAGTCTGCAATCCAGGAATCACACAAGAGGTTTAAAAGGAAGCTTTGCTCTGAGAGAAGAGGCTTCCGGGTAGGATTTTGTTGCGGCTGTTGTTTCGATTTTATTTTTGTAGTAAAATCAATTTGCTGAGATTATTCCCTATAAATCTCAGCTTCTATCTCCCCTTAGACACCTTGTAACACTGAACAGGAAATAATTTTGACCAACGATAATAATCATTTGTACTTGTGCAGTGGCTAGGAGGCCTCTTTTGAATGGATGAGTTAAGGAGGGTTCTGTCTCATAGGCTGTAGCCAAGGACAGCCCATTATTCCGAAGTTCACAGTCAGCAAGCGTTCAGAGCCCTCCCCAGAAGGCTCAGATGCCCATGTGACCTTTTTCTTGTTTTTCACTTTTAAATTTTACAGGTCACTGTACTTCTTTAATTAATCTGCTTTGGAGATCTGGGAGCTAGTGGGGGGTGCAGTGTTTTTGGTCAGCATGATCATGTTCTTTGGACAGAGCAGGCACGTGAGGTCAGCAAGGACCTGTTAATACTGCCCGCTGTTCTCTGATCAACATTTCACATAGTGGGCTGATGCTCATTTGCCTCCTGAACAGAAACTCCAAGAACTATTAGGTTTCAGTCATGAAAAAAATAGTAAAAGGGGATGTGGGTGATGCCTCTGCCTGCCCCTCTGTGAACCCAGTGTGGCCCACAGCCAGGAGGCCCTTGTAGCATCTGAAACAGCCCAACCAGGGCCTGGTCAGAGCAGGCCTCGGTGTACCCAAGGATTTGGAAATGATGTGTTTTGCTCCCCTGGTGATTATAATGAGGTGAAGTAAATAGTGCCAATAAACCCATGTTTGCCTCATTTTTGCCTTTGAATGGGACTTACAGGTAATATCAGAATAAAATTTTGTATATTTGTGAATATATACAGTTCCAAAACACTTTTTAACTCTTATTTTTCATGCATCCCTGAAACTTTTTAGGGGTCATATCATTATTCATATTTTCTAAATGGAAAAATACCCCCAAAGAGTCTTGAAGATTATGGTAGCTAATTAAAAGTAAAATAAGGGTTAGGGGTGTAGCTCAGCAGTAAAGCACTTGCCTAGCATGTACAGGCCCTTTAATCCCTGAGACCATAAAAAAAATTGAAATGAAAAAGTAAAATTGAAACAAACCATGTTTTTCTTAGTCTCAGATGTTTTCTGAGATCTTGCAATCCCTGTCATAATAGGATGTTTGGCACACCCCTGGACTACATTCTGCCCTTCCCACTTGGCTCTCCACACAATACCCCTCACTTCACCATTCCCTGGTAGTATTCCCTCAGGTTGAGAGCTGAATGCTTTCATGTAAATACGGATAACAAGTGATACCCTTCCTGAAGGCATGAGCACTATAAAGGCCCTAAGCATTAAGATGTTTCCTCATGAGGCACGAGAGATGGCTCACTGGTTAAGAATAATTGCTGCTTCTCCAGACAACCTGGGTTCAGTTCCCAGAACACAGATTAGGTGGTTCATAACTGCCTATAACTCTAGCTCCAGGGGATCTGATGCCTTCTTCTGGCCTCTCCAGGTGCATGCACACACACTCACAAATTTAACTAATTAAATCTAAAGGTATTTCCTCCTGTCAAAACTACTTCTCAGGCGCCCCACCCCCTTACAGGAAACACTGCTTATAGCCTTAAGATCTCAAAAGCTATGAGCTCAGACAAATTAACTTGCCTCGGGTCAAGTAGGGGACAATCTACCTCTCACTTTCAGTTCAGCTATAGAACAAAGTCTAGCATTCGGCATCCCTTGGAGGTTAGATTTTTGCAGGTAAGAGCCTCCTGGCAATTTCCATCATCCCAGGCTTGGTGACTGCTTATTAGACTATTGCTTACCCAGCTCCAAGCACCTGATGCCTCTCTTTCTTCCATTCTTTTGTGTCCCTGCTAGATAAAACCATTCTCCCTCTTTGCTTCATATCTGTTCCCTCCCTGGAGGGACAAATGTGCATTTTCAAAGAGGATCTATATACACCTACTTACAAGTTTCTCTGCTGCCCTGGAATTCAAATGGGTCCTGCAAGATCTGTGAAAGTGAGAGGTGACCATCCATCCACACACAGTCAGCCCATAATCTAAGGAGAGAATGTGAAATGTTTAACATTCATCTGCTGCTGTAATTGAACATTCAAAGCTACATGGATGCAAAGCACTTAGCTTACATGTCACATCTTCAGAGCAAAATAAGTTGCTAATGTTGAGCAACTCCGAGTCATGGAGATTTTATTGCTTCCATTCTATTATTAATAAAGCAAAAATTCCACAGGAAAACAAAATGCCACTTGACTTGCTTATTGTAATCAACAACTCAGTGCAAGGGAGACAGATTTTACTGAACTCATGAGAGATAAATCAGAAAGAGGCAATCCACTTATCAGTTCAGAAGCATCTGAAACTAGCCCCAGAAATAAATTTCTCTCTTTCTCTTTTTGCAGAAAGTAAACCCCAAAAGGGTGTAACCTACCCATCGACCCTTACATATTCATCATCCAAAAATCCAGCGGCCAGAGCAGGCAAGTGTTCACATATGATTTCATCTATATCGAAGTTCATAAACAGGCAATGTGTTTTAGGAGATGGTATGGAAATTAACATCTTAACCAGTCAAGCCCCTCTGACTTTGGTGATGCATTAGCAGATGCCAGGAACCTGACACTGAAATCAATGAGGTCAGACAGCCATGGCCCAGGAGTGAAAACTTTAGTTTTCCCTTTTAGTTTTTACAATTTAAGATAGTCTCTATATTTGTGTCATTTTCATTCAGAATGACTGTGGCCTTGAATTTTACTGTATTGTTACTTTAGAAGATGACACGGCATTCTGTCTGGAAATGTTCCCTGGCAGCTCAAAAGGGAAATGCTGGATCTACTTAGCTATAACGCAAAGGGAAATGAAGAGAAGATGAGGCCTGCACAGTAACAGTGAGAAGCAAATCTGGATAGCCCAGATCTAATGCACCCCTGTGGGACTCTGCCGACCCAACTTCTGCAGGAACCGCAAAGGCGCAGGAGCTCCTCTTTTCAGGTCTCCGTGTTAAGTCCAGAACTAGGCTCTGCATGATGGTGCCTTGGAAGGTGCTTTGATTTCCCACAGGGTCACAGAAGCTGTGAGCTGCTTCCTCGGAGCATTCCAGAAACTTGCGGGGCGAACTGATTTAGTTCAGGTTTTAATTCTCAGGTGTAAGGCTGGACGTGGTTCAGGAACTGTGAGAGGCTAGCGTTTTTTATTTTACTGGGCGTCAGGCACTACGACAAGACCTTCCCCTGCTCCTTTTCAGTCACTCCAGATGACCACCAGAACGCACTGTTCTTAGCTCTAATGCACAGTCTGTGGAAAACATGGCTTGGACAAGTTGAGTAGCTTCCCTTCAACAAAGAGCAAGAAAGTGGCGGCAGAACTGAGAGCCGCACTCAGCCTGGCTCTGAACGCTACTCGCCAGCCCAGTAGGTTCTCTTCTGCTGAGGATGCATGCAGAGCCCGAATCTGTTGAGCTTCCAGAGTCGCAGCAGAGGCCTCCTAAAATGGCTTTTGTTTCTGTTCCATCCAGCAGCCTCCGTTCATAGGGTGATTTCTGAAAGTGTGTAGGTAACTGGGTTTGGCTTTACCTAGCCTGATCTTGTTGGGCCCCACCCCTTTCTCCCATCCCTGGCATACAGTCCCTAGAAACAGCAGCCCCTTGGGCAGCCCCTGTACTCAGAACCATGGGAGCCCTGGGCTTCTCTGTGGCCAGAGTCACTGAGGTGAGGCAAGGTCACCTTCCTTTCCCACCTCACTCCACCCATGGCTGTTGAGGGCTTCTAACCAGGGAAGCTCTATTTGTACTGCTACCCATCTTAGAAATCTCAAGTACAGAAAGAGTTCCACATCCAACTAACCCCCTAACTTCAGAGACTACATCTCAAGACCCTCTCCTTTTCTACTGGGAGGGAAAGATTGCTTCTAGTCTCCTAGAATACTCCCCCAGTGTCTCTACAAACTCAGCTCCTTCAGGGTCCAGGGTGGACTTGAGGACGATCTGCCTCAGGACTGGCAGGAAATGGGTGCCCCCACCTCCCTTCCCAGCAGGCCCCTGTATCCTGACAAACAGCTCTGGCAGCACCAACTTTAAGCATCAGGAGAGGACATGAAGAGAGGGAGGGAATAAGCACTCACCTAAACATCCCCTCTGGCAGCATGGCTCCTGATCCACCCTGCTTCTGGTCCTTTCCTTCTGCTCCCAGGCCTAGGGACACTTGGGGTTAGTGACTGCAGATTTTCCCAGAATGTCCATGTGTGTGGGAAGCTCAGTAGCAACTCTCCTTGTTTAGAAAACAGCACTCAGGCCCTTCTGGCTTCAGCCCTCAGTCCAAATCTGAAAAAATGGGAAGAGTTCCACACAAGGTCCTATGCTAAGGCCTAGCTCTGTGCTTGACTTCTGAACTACAACAGCCCAAGGCAAAGTGTCAGTGCATCCCCCTGCTTCAGATAAAGAAGCTGACTGTAAAGAAGTCTAGCACCTAGCCCAAGGGTATGGTATAGCTGATTCCTACAGAGGCCTTTGTATCCTAAAGCAGATAAGAGTTGTGAGGAGGAAGGAAATAGAGAGAAGCTAGAGTTAAGAGATGCTGCAAATCATAGGATCCATTTGGTTTCAACACCCTGGGCAGGAGAGATCTTTCCAAAGCTCCCTTATCTATGCCAGCCATAGTCAAGCGGAACTCTGTCCCCCTCCCACAGAACTCTTGTCTCTATGTCTGTGTAACATCCAGAAATGTACAAGTAGGCCATGGTTTATGTGCATTTGCTTGGTTGCTTTACCTACTACTATCTGAATCTACAAATCAGCAAGTCATAGTTTCAACACAATCATTACCCATGGCACTTGTCCACTTTACCAAACCACCTTAAGTTTCTTTGACAATATCATTAGTTATTACTATCTGTTCCTCATTCTAGATCATTCAAATCCGTCAGTGTCTGAGAGAGTCCATTTCTTCATCCATCCATTCACTCACCATGCATTGAGCTCCTCCTGTGTGCTAAATGACAAGCATGCTAACATAAGGGGAATGTTTGGGGCTTCTGTCTTTAAAGTGGCATGCCCACATGGGGTGAGTTCTTACCAATTCAAATAAAAAATTCCAGGGAAAATCATACAAGAGTGGCCTAGTTGTTGCCACTTCTTCTAAGGGATCAAATTCCTTTGGAAATTGGATAAAGCAGAAGAGGGAGATGCAGGCCAGCTGTTGCTCAAGTCCCAGCATGTTGCATAAAATGCTTATTAGTCTCTCAAAGAATGAATAAACAGGTAAATCAAGTTAGGATGACCGCCCCCCCAACATAACCACACTCTTTGGTGGCAAATTATCTCACACGAACACTAAAAAGTATCTTGATTTGCCTTGCTGGGCTCACACTGGGGATGGACATTACCTGAGATTTAAAGTCTGTCTCCCAGGCAGTTAGCAAGCATTAGGCAGGCAGCTGCTTCTTGGCTAAAGCCTCCATTTGCTCTGAGCTAAATAAAAACAGGTAAGTGTTGATTTGCAGAAATTCACCAAAAAACTGGGGAGGCACATTCCTGATACCAGGGCCAAAGAAAAGCTAGGAAATCTGCTACTGAGGGAGTGCCAGGAAAACTCCCTCCTGCCTCCCCTTGGCTGAGAGCTAAGGAAGGCCCCTGCCCTGTAAGATGATCAAGCTTAAACTTATTGCAGCAAGTTGTACCTCCCAGGACTCTCCTGCCTTCACTGCCCACATCTACCAAGGTCATTCCCTCACCTCTCCTGAGAATAAGGACTTTGGAGAGATCTCAAGAGACCTTGACTTATGCCCAGGAATCCTGAAAGTGATAAGACTCATCTTCCACTTCTTCTCCTTTTGTGAAAAATAGCATGGATTTGGAGTGGATCACACTGGAGTCCAAATCTCATCTGTACTTCCTGTTGTCTGTATATCCTGAAACACTTCTTGACTCCTTGGAAAGCCTGATCCATAGAATAAGAATAGGAATGTTAGAGTCTGTGTCTAGGGTTGTGATGAATATTAACTGTGCATGCTGAGGTGACAAGGACTTCAAAGTGCCTGACATAGGAGATGCTTAAAGACTATTAGGTCTCCTGCCCTACTGTCCAGCCCTAAGACCCAGAATGGGTTATCTGTGGGAAAAACAGAATCCTGCCCTATCACTCTGACCTCCAGGCCTTGTTGCCAAGGTGATTCTGTCCCCTTCACAGCCACACTGCCCTCTCCTGCAGAGGGAGAAGCATAGCCAACTCCTGCCATTTATTGGATCCCTACAGGTGCCAAGCACAGTGTGAGCCACTTACTTCACCATAATTATGGCAACAGCTCTACCAAGTAAGCACGACTGTTCCCACTGCATAGCAAAGACAGGCTCAGGGAGACTCTCAGGGCAATCAGAGCACTAAGAAACTGACACTTGCTTTGTAAAAAGGCAACTGGAGCCACTGATGAGCCAGCCTTGCTCCAGGAAATTACCTCCCACTGGGGCTCAGTGATTAAGAGCACTTGCTGCTCTTTCAGAGAACTGGAGTTCCATTCCCAGTTCCTACACCAGGCAGCTCACAACTGCCTGTAACTTAAGCTCCAGGGTATCCACTCCCTCTTTTGGCCTCCACTAGCACTGCACTCATAATCACAAACTCACACACAGACACGCACCTATATACATAATTTAAAATAAAAATAAAATCTTTACATAAAAATAACCTACCATTTATGCAAGCAACCACAATTAAACTCAGTCAGTCAAAAAAAGGACATTGAGATAGGAGGGAACTTGTTGGGAAAAAGAAGCTTCAGTAGTGGTGGGGGTGGGGGTAGGGGGTGGGTAATGGGAGGTGAAAATGTCCCAAACTCAGTATACACATGTATGAAGTTGTCAAAGAATAGAAATCTGTGATGCAATCTAAATCTTCACACATGGAAGAGGAGCTCAATTTAGAAGAACCTAGATGGTTCTCAGCATCTAGCTAATTCCATCACCCCATCGACAGGCAGGACAACTGAGGCCAGGATGAGTCAGTTAACTGGTCACGAACCAATTTAAACCAGACTGTGTTCTCTAAGAGTAAGTCCTAGGTGACAGCCCTGGAAGTACCAGGCATCCACAGGCCAATGGTAACTGAGACAGCCGAACAATAGAAAGGGCAGAAGGGAGGAGACGCGGAGGGTAAAAGGAAGACAGAGAAAGAAATTAAACCATTGTTCATGGTGCCTGGCAAATTAATTGGCATCTAATCATGTTCTATCATGTCTTTGTTACTACATTTTGAATTGTCACTTAAATACATTGTTTTTTAATCTTTGGTTTGTTGATTGACTCATTGTTCTGAAATTGTACGTTCCTTAGGAATGGTGTACTGTTTATCTAGATTTCACCCTCCCCTGAAACTAACACAGGTTTCTGTTCATAGCCGGTGATGGTCAATAAACAGTTATTTGATTTCTATCCCTCTAAGTTTTTACAGGCTATTTTGTAGGCCCCAATGTGTTTCTGTTTTTTTAACAGATGAGACCACAAAAGACTACGAGAAGTCATCTATTCCAGCGACAACTACATGGCCAATCACTCTGACACAGGGTCCAGCTATCCCAGTAGCTGAGGTAACCCACAGAGTCCTGCCAAAGCCATTTCCATTTGCAGCCACAGTCACCAGTAGCCCCAGACCCCATCCTATGGGCCTCAGGAGCCAGGAGATGGGTGAGTAGGTGGACCATGTACCAAGGTTCCAAGGGTGGGGTAGAGTGGCTCAGAGGAGCAGCTCTGTCCAAGTCTGGGTATGTGGTACCTAGGCCTGGCCTTTTCAGCTGATGAGTAGGGAGTGACTGAGACCTTCATGGGGGTGGAGAGCAGGCTCTTTCTTCTGGGTTCAAAATAAAGCTACCATTCCAATACAGTAGTTATTCAAAAGTAGGATATTTCATGAAATTTTCCTGTTATACTATTAGGTTTTGTTTCCTTGAATAACAAATGGCCCACACCTAGAAGTCTTCAGATATTAAAAACAAATCAAAGACTCCCTTTAGGAAGTCAGATAGCTGATATTTTTGTTCCTTCCCTGGCTGCTTTCTGTCTGACCACTTTTAGCTGGTTCTTACTTCATTTTAGGCTTATCAACATTCCATTTATGGAGTTAATCTCTGCACTACATCAAACAAAGCCTTAAGAGCTCATCTGATAATCCAAACTCCAGTTGCTACAGCTTCTATCTACACTAATAAGCACCTGCATCTGTTCAAAGATTTTCCTAGCAAGGAAGAATGGGAAATTGTGCAACTGGAGTGCTATCGTCTGAATATTACCTGTCCGGTGCCACTTTTCCCTTCTTGGAGGAAGTTCCCAGGACCTGTTTTCAGTCTCACCCCCAGCTTCAATCATTACTGTCACATAGCATGACCATTCCCTTCCCTAGCAGAACCCACCCTCCTCTGGATCCATCCTTTTATTTATCACCAGAGAAGAGCACTTTCAATGTGCTGGGCATTTTTCTAAGCAATTGCCAAATATTAGTTTATTGAATCCTTCATAACAACTCTGTGGAATAGCTATACATGACTCCTAATTTGAATAATCCATTGTTTTCATGAATAAACCAAGGAATAATGCGGTAAGTGACCAAGCCCTAGGTCACACAGGTGAGCAAGTAGAGCAGAAAGTCATACTCGAGGACCTTGGATCCCTGCCATCAACAAACACCCTGGCCACATAGGAACACATCTTGACAAGGATGGAGTGTCAGAATTAGAGGTTGCTGGACCATCCTACCCTCTTCTGCCATTAATAATATATGTCAGAAGGCATACAGCCCATACAACATTCCATGGGCCAGGTATTTTGTAAGCATTATTTTATTCTTGTCAACAATTCCATCGTAAATATTCTATTTTGCATTTTACAGATGACTTATGGAAGAAGTTTGAATATAAAGTTCCCAAATCAGAGTATCATAAAAATAATTTTTTGAAGTTTTAAAATGTATGGGATATGCCCCCACACTGTTCCTTTAATTCAGGCTAGTGTTAACACAAGTTCATGATGCCTGGTAGCTCGAGAAAATGGTGTAAGATGCGGGTGACCGGAGCTAGCCTGGCTGCCACAGCCAGGGCTTTTCCTTTATTACATTCCAAGCTCCTGATTTTAGATTCCTTAATCCTTTCAAGTGTGTTCAAGTACCTGAATCAGTTGTCTCTGCCTGTAGCTTGAGGTCTAAGAGTCAATTCTTTTTTTTTTTTTTTTTTTTTTTTTTTTTTTTGGTGTTTTTGAGACAGGGTCTCCCTGTCATAGGGGCTGGTCTGCAACTCACTATGTAGACCAGGCTGGCCTTGAACTCAGAGAGATCCACAGGCCTCTGCCTCCCAAGTGCTGGGATTAAAGGCGTGCACCACCACTGACGAAGAACATCAAGCTTGTGGCATGTTTATCTGGCTGCACAGGGAGCTTGGGAATCCTGCTGCCAGTTGGGCTGTGCTGGTGGAAAACCATAAAAGAAAAACAAGTAGTGACTCCCAAGCTGGCAAAACTTCATTATTCCTGGCTTTGGGACAGGGGCTTTGGACAGCAGCTGCCCAGTTCATCAGTGTTCCCTTTTCATCCTTATACAGCACCCGCTTCCACTGGACCCACACACCACTGGGCAAGTCCTTGAAGCCAGTGAAGCCTCTATGCGGCAGGCAGCACCACAGTTATTAAGACAGGAGCCAAACTGGGGAGGGAGGATTTCTTAAATATTGCATTCTCCCTCAAAGGACCTTCTGTGGACCTGAAAAGAAGTAAATACTGACGTCTAAATGCATACGTCTATTTAAATTGACAGTTGCATTGAGATACTTTTCACAAATCATACAAGTCACCCATTTAAAGCTCATAATTCAGAGGATTTTAGAACATCACTACAATCACTTCTAGGACATTTACATCACCCACAAAGAAACCCCATTGCTGTGAAGAGTCACTCACCTTGATCATGAACCACGACTCCTTTGGCCCTAGGTAAACGGGTAACTGCAGTCTTCTTTCGCGAATGCCTTTCTTAACATGTAGCTGTACATACTTGCTGTGATACCTTAGCCCAACTATATGAAATAATATTTAGCAAACAAATAACTCTCATTTTTATTCAAACACTCTGAAAACGTTCTGCCAGTGATAAGAGAACAACTCTTTCTATCACGGACAGACAAGCAAGTTGATGTTATTACAGTTTTTCCTTTTATATATGTGACTGAGATCAAAAGAGTCTAGAAGTGATCCTGAATGGGGTGTTCAACAAAGCCAAATTCACTTATTCATTCAAGAAGCATTTATTGAATGCTTACTGTGGGTCAAACAGCGTTCTAAGATCTTGGGCCACATCGGTAAACATCCCACCTCAAGCCACTAAGGTCTCCAGAGATCACTTCAGCTTAAGACACCTGACAAGTGTGTGCCTGGAACGGAAACTGCCTGTGTTTGAGGTCTAAGAGTCTTCGTCCTGTTCTGAGGTCAAAAACCTTGAAGGGAGGCTGACAAAGAATGAGTAGACATTTAGAAGCAGGGAGAGACAGAGCTCCGTCAGAGACATGAAAGGACTCCCAGGAAGGAGAGGCTGAAAGCATCATGATCCTTTCCCCGAGCTGTGAATGTGGGAGCCAAAAAGACAGAAAAGAACAAACCAAGGCCAGGGGAAAGACAAGAGCCAGAGAGACAGAAACTTCTCAAGGGAATAAAGCTGTTCCTCATAGGAGAGGCCATGGATGGCATTAATACCCCCAGGAGCACCCATGGCCAGAAAGAACCACCTGGAGAGCCAGGTCCACAGCTATACTTAGAAAAGAGTTTACCCAGTTGTGGGGTCAGCTGAATATATCACAGGTTTAGAAGGTAGAATGGCTGCATGCAGCATTGTTTTCCTCATTGGGTTTGCATCACGAAGTGCTAAACAGGCTCCAGTGGATGCACACCAAAGGACATTTGGGGACATAACTTGACTCGAAAGGCCTTAACATATATGACAGAATACATGAAATCTGGTGGGGGAAGTATAAGAGAGGTACAGATAGGGGAAGGAATCTAAATATGATCAAAATATATTGCATGAAATTTTCAATTAAAAAGAAAAAGGTTTATAATGATAAAAAAATAAGTGCCTTGGTGGCCCCAGCTGGTGTAGCATGAAATGTGCACGCACTACAGATAGACTAGAAGGGTAGAAGAGTGCCGCCTAGTGGCAAGGCTTGGCAATGACATGGCTATTCATCCTTTAACACCCCCCACCCCAGACAAGGAAGGGAGCCATGGAAATTATGACATTTTCAGGAAAATGAATGGTAAAGGAAATCATTATGTTAAGCAAAATAAGGCAGACTGAGAAAAATATTGCATGTCTTCTATCATATGCAGAACCTAGATTTAAATTTGTCTGAATACATATAGACATGCACATAGAACGTGAGCTAAGAGAGGCAAGAGGACAAGGGCAGGACAAGATGGGGGTCATAGAATATAGGTGACATGAAAATAGGGTGGCTTTCCTGGGGCATGGTGAAGGAAGGGGACTCTGGGTGGAGGGGAATGAGAGAAAACAGCAGGACCATGCTGTTTGGACATGGACAGAATGATATGTATGTATAAAGATATAATAATGAAACCCATTACTTTTCATGATCACTTAAAAATTAATGAAAAAAACAAAAAATCTGGCATGTATGGGCATTGGCTGGCCTAAGGGGACTGGCCTGTGGCAGCAAGCTACAGAGAGGCATGTGCCCCCAGCCTGTTCTTGTATTTCTGTGTTGAACATGAGAATGGAATCAATTCTACATGCCCAAATTGAGTGGTAGTAACTGCTGGATAGAAGATAAATGATGGCTTCTTGCTGTGCATAACATACAGAGGTGGTTACTTTTACACCCAATTCTGTTACCTTCACAATTATACAGGTAATAAATCTGCTTTGAGTTCATGTCACATAATTCGGACAAAGACCGAAGGAGATCTACTGTGGATACACCCAGTCCTAAAAGAAATGGATACCCTCTCATGATCACTTACCTCTTCCCTTCTATGAAATTTGGGTCTTGCTCTTCCCCCAATCTTCCACCCCTCTCCTTTTAAAACTTTCCTTCATGAAACCTCCCAGTAAGCAATGAATACGGAAATGTATTTGACTCTCTCCCAGAGTAACCAAGGCTAACTCCTGGGGTACCTCTAAAAATGGCTGAAAGCCAATGGTATTTGCATCGATACCATGTTAACACAGCTTAGGTAAATTGCTAAATGTTAAGTGACGTTTCTATTGAAAGATTACTTCAACCTCCCCACAAGTGGCACGGTTGAAAGGAGTTGTTTTGAGAATAATGAAATTTAAGAAATAGGGTACTTAAGTAGAAGAAACTTACTTTAACAATCATGAAATACACAGGCTATTAGTATCTGGAAATTCCAGCCACTGTTTTGAATTCAACCTGCTTTTTTTTTTTTCCATTCCAATGCCTCCTCCAGGGCAGGTTCAGACTGCCTGAGCACAAAGCTTTACCTGCGTTCTGACCTTGGTCACGTCTTGCTAGGTTAGATCATGGAAAGATTGAGAACAGCTAGATGAAAGTTCATGCTCTGACCAGTCCAACTGTGATTTCAGATCTGTGGTCTACCACCACCCACACAAGAAGCCAACGCGGCCCTGGCGCCCATCCAGGTGAGAACCTGAGCCGTCTTCCTCACTGCTTCTCTGCACCGGGTTCTTGTTTTCCAAATCCCTCACCATTTGATTTAGAGCTAATAGAACCTTAAACCAGTTGGACCCCCAGAAGATACTTCTCTAGGGCCCAAACTTGTAAAGAAACTTTTAAGGAAATAAGGTAGTCATTTAATAAGCCAGGCCTTTGCCTAATCGTCCTTCGCTTGAGGCAATTCCATGCAGGTTGCGATAGGAATTCCTAAGGAGTCAGTAATCAGGCTCTTCTAAGCCTGGAAAGAGATTCTCTCTGGGGTTTATGCTTGAGGGAATTCATTTAAAAGAGCAGGGAAAATTTTATCATCTCCCAAGAAAAAACAGAGGGAATCTTGCTTGGGGACTTCTGTTACGCCCAAGGGAGAGAAACACACCTATCCCTCCTGGAAAGTGCCTCTGAACTGTGACCCAGGGCTCTTCATTTCCACGCACAGCTTTTGTGATTTGGCCCTAGAACAAGGACTGGAGCAGATCTTGCAATCCTGCCAAGCCCTGCAGAGATTAGGAAGGAAAATGGTACAGGGTCAGATGTCTCCCACAAGCTCCCCCAGGCCTGCACTGTGAGCTGATGAACTAGCTAGAAGCAGCCGTGTGTTCCCTTCGAGGCCACAGGGCATGAAGACCAGAGTCTAGGACTGCCTTGAAGAGGCATTTGTATCTTCCTCCTGTGGGGAGAACTCATCTGCCCTCCACAGGTAAGAAGATGCCTAGAAATCATAGATTCTTCTTTGTTTGGTGCAAGATCAGATCATGAAATTCATGGCCCCTGCTCAGGGCTAGTGGGGTTTCCATGAGCTTCACCATGGTGCCTTTGCCAATGTATACTCTATTGCCTTGGCTTCAGAACCAGAACACTAGCCAGGCAAGGACTCTAAGATCACTTTAGGCCTCTAGTGACCCATGAGACTTCCCAGAAGGCCAAGGCACTGCCTAGTTCCCTTGGCCAAGATTCCTGCCGCCTCTGCCACCTCCAATGGTAGAGCCAACCACAGTGTGCTCAGTCGATTCCAAAGAAAATCTGGACCAGGGTCACTCTCACCAGGGGACAAAATAAGAGAGGAAAGAAGTTGCTGGTTGTATGTAGATTGCTTGACCCTGTATAATCCCCTCAGGTATACAAAGGCAGGATTCTTCCAGAGCTGCCTTTCAGAAATCTGCAGGAGCAGAGTCAGCCTGGGCCAGCTGCTTGCTGCTTCTCATCTCACATCCTAGAAATGTACCTTCATGGTCATCCTGGCTCCTCCAGCTCAACTCCATGTCACTAGTTTGGGGGCATCCCAAGCTGTTTTAACCTCCAGAAAAAGTCTTTGCTTTGTCTGTTCTCAGAAAGGCAGAGAAAGTCGATTAAGTCAGAGGCCCAAGGGTTTTCATTACCTTATGTTTCCTCTAAAGGTTTTCTGCTTAAGCATCTCCCCAAGCTGGCCTCTGGGATAAAGTACAAATACCAAGACACACCATGTGTATCAGACATGGTCTAGAGGCAGATAACAGAAAGACACGTTCCCAGTCTCCACTGTTGTTTTTACTGCCTGACCGCCTTCGTTTTGTTTCCAGGCTGGGTTCTACCAGCAGGCACTTGGTCCCATTCCTGTTTCACTAACCTAATCACCCTCCTGTTCTTTAGTTCCATGCATTTGTCTTTTCCAGTGCTCTTCATGCTTTCAGTATTTGGATCCACAAATATGTGTTAGCTTCCTTTTAACCCTCAATCCTGTCCACTTCTGCTGCTTTCCCCCCTCTCACCAGCTGTCTGAGTTAGCTTTAACTGTCAAACTTGTCACAGCCTAGAGGAACCTGAGAAGGGAGTCTCAACTGAGGGATTTCCTAGATCAGATTGGCCTGTGCAAACATCTGTGGTGGATTGTCTTGATCTTTAGTTGATGGAGGCAGGCACAGCCCACTGTGGGCAGCACCATTCCCTGGGCATGTTGTCCCAGGCTATATAAGAAAGCTAATGAAGCCTGAGCTTGCAAGCAAGCCAGCAATCAGTTCCTCCATGGTTTCTGCCTCTGAGTTCCTACTTGAGTTCCTGCCTTCACCTCCCTAAATGATGAACTGTGACTTCAAAGTACAAATCCTTTCTTTCCCTCAGTCACTTTGTGTCAGAGCATTTTATCACAGCAACAGAAAGGACACCATCTTCCCTGCAATTGCTCTGAGCATCTCAGATCCTCCTATGAATTCTCAGTATGTCCTTTCCTGGGGGCATGCTCCCATCCCAAAGAGTTCAGACCTAGACAGCCACTAAATGTCCCAATAGCCCCTTCAGGGGAGGAGGAAGAAGCCACCTGCACCTCTGAGTACAGGCAGGTAAGGACATCTAGGATTGTTTTATCTTCAACTAGCTCTCTCCTCGCATCTAGTCATATCTGCCAAGCACTTTGCCTAGGTCCTCAATGTCAAATTGTCAGATTGTGGAATTATGAAGAATTATGTAAAATGCATCTGGTCAAACTCCTATCAAAAAATGAATCCCTCGTGGTAGTCAAGGCAGAAACTCTTCCTCTCTGGGATATCATCAAGTAGTAAGGGAATTTCCCAGCCCTTCTGTTGGTGGTTGGCACTGCGGGAGATGACCACTTAGAACTTCAGCCCTTTGCTCCTGCCCTGTCTGATCAGTGATTCCTTTTGACTACATCAGCATGAGGACAGATTTTCTTCTTTTTCAACAAAAACAACGTACCACAAGTTGACTTCAAGAACCAGTAGCTGGTGCCTGCCGTCTCCCATCATGACAGACATTGAAAAAATTGGCCATTTCTTTCATTGAACTCTTCTGTTTCAGAAAACAATTACTTGTTTTTAATTTTATTTATTTTATTTTTTTTTATTATTTTTTTTATATGTATGTGTATTGCCTACATGTAGGTAAGTGCACCCATGTCATGCAGTGCCCGCGGAGATCAGAAGAGGCTGTTGGATCCCCTGGGACTGGAGTTACGGAAAGTTGTTAGCTGCCATGTGGGTGCTGGGATTCTAACCTGGGTCTTCTACAAGAACAACCAGTGTTCTTAACCACTGAGCCATCTCTCCAGCCCCAGGTCTGTTATTTTTAATGTATTAACTGTTAAAGAAATTGCTAGTAAGTATTGTTTCAAATGAGAGTCTATATAGTTTTATGTGCTAAATGATAAAAATCAACAGCCTATAACCTACACAAACAGAAGCTCTGTGAGGTGTTCAGTAACTTCTAAGACCAGGAAAAAAAAAAAAAAACTGAGATTCAGCGAATCCCTGAAATTTGATAGCCTTTCAAATCTATGAACCTCAAACTCAATGTCTCATCTTTTTTTAGAATAAGTTTCTCCAGTTCCTTCAGCAGGTCTTCCTATGACTTGTCAGGATATGACGTCACTACACTTCTGTTGTGTTCATGGAACACAGCACCCAGTACAGAATGCAAAGCTTCTGTGCAGAGAATTTCCACACGTTTGAAAACAGCCCCGGGTACAACTGAGCAAGCTCTGCCTCACGACTGGCTCCTGTCCTGCTCAGCCTGCCACTACTCAACCCCAGATCTTTTCTGTTCTACTGCTTCTACTGTACCTGTACTTCTACCGTGTCTTCTACTGAACCCTGCCTGCGCACAAGCATGGTCCTGAAAGCCCTGTTTAAATCAAGTAAGCTATACTGGCCTGCCTAGAAACCTAAGCAAGGAATTGATGTTTCCATGAAAAAAATGCTGCCAGGTGCCAAATAAATATCCCACAATGTATATTGGAGGGCATCCTGTTTATAAACCTGGGGCCACTGATGCCTCACTGGCATGACTGTGCATGAGCAGGACTTCACATGTCCCCAGTGGTCTCTGAAAGTGCCTGTAGAACAGGCTGCTGGCACAGCAATGCCTTGGGCATGGCTGCAGGCATCTGTTCTCCACAGCAAGAGGAAGTTTGAGGAAAATGTACTGCCCTTCTACCCTTGGGACGTGCAAGCAGGAGAAAGGACAGGAGCCTGCCAACATCCCTAACTCTGGAAGCCTGCTGCATATTCAAACTTCCACCTCCTCCTGCACTCCAGGGGAGTCACTGGGAGCTGCCAGGCCACCTACGCTTCTATCCTAATAAAACTTCAGACTCCTAAGGGCTGTATTGTCTATGGTGTGGTTCCCACTTGGATCCTGTGCTAGGATTTCCAGATGTGCAGAACAGAAGGATCTGAAACCGGCACTATATCACCACTGGGCAGAGGGGCAGAGGTCAGCATTCCAGGTCTTTCTGAAACTTAACCACATTACTGGGAGTTACAGGGTGGTGCCAGACCTAGCATTTTGTGACCTAATCAGGTACCCTGAGATGCTGAAGCAATGACCCTTTCTTACTTGTGGTGGACAGACAGATGTTGAATGGGTGTAAGCTCTGGAATCTGCTCATCCCAGCTAGGCTCAGCCTAGCTAGTACCTACTAGTTTCCTCACCTGCAAACTGAGGTTGTAGCTGAATCTAACTCACACAGTCAGTGTGACTTCATACTCACAAAGTGTCTCACACCTGTCTTTGAGCAACTCTGAATAAATGTTAACGGTTCCTGAATTTTCCCTGCCCCATGGAAATCACTCAGAACCCAGTACTTCTCCCAGACCTGGCTCTAACTGTGAGATGCCTGTGCAAAGATTGTCATCAAAATTATTTCCTGTTTTGTTAAGAGTGACTTGCATTTTTCAGAGTGATTTTATGCGCACTTACCCCCATTAGTCTCCTCCCTGTGAGACAGGACAAGTCATTGTGACCATGACATCAGCTTTCCACAAGAGAACACCACAGGTGAACTGTGGAAAGGTGGAGGAGCCAGGCCCTGACTGCTTTTGACACCTCAGGACCCTCTTCGGATTTCTTTTCATCCTACCCGACCTGCCTTGACACCACCAGAACACAAATGTCCTTTCACACATTCACTCTCATTACCACCAAACCACCATGTGTAAGCTGTCTAAATGTTTTTTCAGGCCTCAGCTTTTAAATGAACTTGAATTTGTTTAAATTTGTCCCAAACGAGATGAAAGTGGCACCGACAGGACAGGCGTCCAGGACAAAAGTAAGAAGCTGGGGCCAGGGCACTGTTCGTCTTTCACTAAAATAATAATACGCTCAACATTTTAGCTTTCATGCTGAGGAAGATTTGTAAGTAATTTTAATAAAATGAAATAAAATTTTAAAGCTTTGAGCAAAAACCAAAGCCACCAGCATCTTTTTAAAGGAAGAGAGTGAACTGAACTGCTGATTTTCACCAGTAGGTGGAACTAGAGTAATAAGGGTAAAGTAACATTGTTTAAAGCTAAGTGAAGATCTGGAAAGTGGAGAGCCATCTCCTCCAGCATACTGGTGTTATTTGCCAAGAAGTTAAAGTCCCCAGAGGGTAATACTGACTCCATCAGTAATGTCTGAATCTAGTCAAGGGCAGGTCTTGCCATCAAACCAGGGTGTACAAGGGCATGAATTACCTTTGGAAATCGCCTGGCCTATTCTTCAGCTGAAGAAAAAAATAAGACTTCTTTTGAATGTGTTAATAATTCCAAGAGTAGCATAGCAGATCTGATTTGCCTTTAGCAAATCAAAGTCGTTCATGCTATCAAGCTTCTAAGAGAGGGAAGGAAGCAAGGAGGGACAGAGAAAGAAAAAGAGTCATATTTTTGTTACGAGGTTTTTTGATAAGTTTGTGCGGCTTCCATCACCCTCCCCACGTCACAGCACATCCGTGCAAGCAGAGCCCAGGCAACACGTTGCTTTGTTCTGTTTGAGGCCGTGAGATGTGGAAATTCAGGAACTGGTGGAAGGGCTGCTCATTAAAGGGGCAAGTTTTGCTCTGTATCGTGCCAAGGAAAAAATTCAAAGGGGGGATAGATGAAACGAATCTGCAACAGGCACATATTGAATGCCTAATGAGTATGGATGAGTGGGTGAGTAGAAAGGTGGATGGAGGGATGGATGGGTAGATAAAACTGTAGCTCAAAATATTTCAGATGGGTACAGGAAGCAGTTTCACATTCTCAATAATCTAAGACAGAATTAATGTATGTGCTGCTTTGGTTGAAAAGGTAATAAATCCCCAGTTTCTGGAAATATCCCAGTACCAACCAGGCACTCATTTAGCAGGGACAGTATAGAAGCTTATTGGAGGTGCTGCAGACTAGATAAGCTTTTTTAGGAATCATAGGATCCCTATTGGTCCTTGATTCTTGGTGCATAGTGAGCAAAGCTTATGCCTTTAGCTTTAAGAGCTTCAGGTGGAGAAATCTCAAGAACATCAGGTTGCTTCATCCAAAATCCTACTCCCGTGCTCCATCGTTGAACTTCCTTCTTCAGCTGTGAAGGGTCATCCTGGCAGTTTATTGCGTGCATCTGCTGGTTTGGTTAAAATAAGTTTGTTTCTTTTTCTTAAAAATCAGGAGAGATGGATGTGTGGAAGCCTGGACCAGCCCTTTTAGATTCAGGTAATTATCCAGCCCAACCTCTCTACTCTGACCAGATCAAGATGTGCAGCATTACAGAACCAAGAGGGTGTAACAGTTGCGCTGGTGGCGTGGGTGGAGCTCAGCCAGAGTGGCCTCTCCAAGGAAACCCTCTTGGGACCTTCAGGTCCTGGAAAGGGTACACTCAAACTTTCCTATCAGGCCTGGGGCAATATTGGGTTATCAAAAGGGAGAGGAGAGAGAAAACAGGAAGACAAAAGGCCAGGAGAAGTGGGTTCCCCATCTCCAGATGGGTTTAGCACCTCACTCCACCCAGTAGGACACAGTTGTCCTCTATCTCCACCTTCTTCTAGGAAAATGGTATTCAGGTTTTCCTTTCTCATGAATGGGGGTCCTTTACTGTCCACATTAAATGTTTGAAACTTCAATAAAGTTTCCCAGCTCTAAGAAGGAAGGAAGATTTTACTATCAGGGAGAGATGGGAGAGAAGAGCTCTAACCTTTGAACTCGTTTCTCTCCCCCTCTACAATGTAGAGCTTTGAGGCATGTCCTTGGGAGGCTTCTGGCTGAGAATTACTGTTAAACACCCAAAACAAAATTTTTAAAGATGTGGGGAACTAGGGTAAGGCTGACTGACCTTTAATGGGAAGATGGGCCAACTGGGAAACAAAAACAAAAACAAACTAACAAAAAAATCAGACAACCAAGAGAAAACTCACTGTAGCTAAGAGCAAAGACAGACCCCAGCGCCTTCCTCCAACTGCCAGAAACTTCCAGAATTGCTGAGCATCCTGAAAACTGGGAGACCCATTTCCTGGGCAATGTGTTTGCCTTGCCTGAGAAACCCACTGGTCATAACAGTCCTAAAAGAATCCTCATTTATTGCACTCAGTCCCTTATGTGATATATTTGTAACACTAGTTCCATGTAAATGGCCGTTAATGAGCCACCTCCTCCCTGCCAGGCACAGCCTCTCCAAGCATGAACATGTTTGTATCTTTGCCTCTAGTCTGGAACTACTAATGGGGAGAGGTTGCCTTCACTTCTTATTTCAGTTACTTTTGTCTGAGCCCTTCCCTTCCCATCTCCATACAGCCTTTTCTAGATTGGCCTGCATATGTCTAACTCTATTCATCACTTATATCAGCAAACATTGGCTGAGGACTTACATGTGATGGGCATAGTAAAGGTTTGTATGAACCTGATGCATTTACCTTGAAATTTTCAGAATTTTAGAGAGTGATA